CAGAACAATTGTCAGAAAATTTTTTGTATTTCTTTAAGGCATGGACTTCCAGGAATCCCTTCAATGAGTCTACTGGAATCTTTTCCAACCAGTCTGAGGGCTATTTAACAACAACAGGGATTGTTGATGTTCCCATATGCCACATTTTTGAGATTTCGATTTCAAGGTCCTTGTATTTTGATAGCCTTTTTGAATATCTTCAAAGATACATTGCAGTCAGCAGGGACTGCCATATCAATAAGGAGGCATTTTTTTTTTGTTTGTGGTCTTTAATAACAATATCTGGGCGTTTAATTTTGTTCTGTCTGTGTGTTTTGTGTAATCCCTTAAAATTAAAAGAGGTCCTATCACCGTAACCAGGTCTGGGTGGTGTTCATACCAGTTTCTTTCAGTTTCCTTCCGTAGAAGTTGCAGATTTTCCAGTGCAGATATTGGCCCACTCTTTCATGCCGGGTTTTATATTCAGTGGGTGCCAATATCGTGCAACCTGATACAAGATGATCAATTGTTTCTGGATATTTATCACAGAATCTGCATTTTGGGCTGACACAATATTTTAGTATATGTGCTTGATAATTCCTAGTTAGCAAGCATTGGTCCTGTTCAGCCAGGATAAAACCTTCGGCCTCAGCTTTTAACCCTGCACTACGTAGCCACTGATGGGTACGGGGTTTGTCTACAGCTTTTTTGGTACGGGCAGAGTATTGGCCATGAAGTGGTTTATCTTGCTATTGTTTCTGTATCTGGTCGGTTGCATTTGTCTTTGCTTTCTTTTTAATTATTTTCAGTCGGTGTATTCTGCTTTACTTGTATTTCTGCACACATTTGAAACTCAATTTTGAATTTGTTGGCTTCCTTTATTACGAAATAAAGACGCTTACTACTTTTCAAATTCTTTGACACATATCATCATCGAATCTTCTGTAGTGTCCAGGCATCTTTAAAGGCCAGTTGATGTAGTTGTGTAGACAGTTCTAGTTGAACTAATCCTCTGTTTCCTTCGGATCTGGGCACATACAGACGATCAATATCAGCTTTGGGATGATGCATGAGGTAGCAAGTGAGAAGCTTTCTCGTTTTGAAATCCATTTGCTTAATGTCAGTTGTGATCTTGTCAAGAATGTGGAAATTGTACTGCATCACTTGAACAGCCAAAGTGTTTCTGGCTGATATTCGGTTTTGTGAATTCAACTCGGTATTTAACACCATCTGTAGTATTCTTTTCTTACTTTCTCCTTCATTTGGATTTGCCGAATTCCATCTCCTTTGCTCATAGGTATCTATAGGCTTCGTAACAAACTCTATATCTATTGAATGTGTTTCTCTAATTCTCCCTTGTTTGGATGTTACTTTTGCACATTTATCTAATCCGAAATCCATACCGATGTCATCAAAGAAACATTTTAGAATATTGAGGCTACCCTTCGATTCATTAGGCAAAGAGTTTGATATCATCCACAAAGAATCAATGATTAGCCTTTTAAGCCCTGCGTGGCTGAACAATTTTAACCTGAAATCTTGAGTCAAAATTAGCAAATAATTCGTATGTAATGTTTCACCGTAGATATAAAAGTAGTTACAAAAATATAGCCATTATACTTAGCAGGGAGAGAGTATTATTGCATGACTTTATTGCCAGAATTATTTCTTTTTTGATAGAGTCTACCCAAATAAGACAACCAATAGCAAAATATGACGCAAGTGTTTACCACCGTTTAACCGGTGGTTGGGCATTAACCGTTTCAGCCATGCGTTCCTGAACAATTCTAGCCATTCTGCCTGAGCTCCAGAGTCAAAATTCGCTAATAATTGGTATGTAGTGTTTTACCGTAGATATAGAAATAGTTACAAAAAATATAAGAGTTTATTCTTAACAGGGAGAGAGAAATGATTGCATGCCTTCACTTCATCGCCAGAATTTTTTCTTTGTATCTCAATCTACCCAAATAAGACAACCAATAGCAAAACAGGAAGCAAGTGTTTACCCACCGTTCAACCGGTGGCTGGGCATTAAGTCCTTTTTCTCTACCACCAGTAAAGCGGTGGTCAGGGCTCAAAAAGTTAAACACTTTCTTTTTTACTTTGTATCCCTAATTATTATTTAGTTTATGCGAAAGGGGGATTAAGGACAGGAAGAACAGAAAGGGCGACAAGGTGTGTCCTTGAGAGATTCCTCGTCGGATATTCAAACATTATTATTATTTTTATTATTATTATCATTATTATTATTTGACTTTGCTTTGTGTCCTACGACCTGAACTCAAGTCTAAACTAGAAACTTCAAAAGACAATTTTTGCGGTGACAGAACCAACTTCATCTCGGAACATCAAAAGGGTAATTTGCAATTCAAGCCCCGCATTCAGTTTCTAATAAAAAATTTCCCGAATAGTTCCATTTAGGTGTAAATTTACATGCTTAATTCGAAAATAACAAAGAAATTCTGATAAAATCTAGCGTTTTGGAGTTATCAGCGATAAAAGTTCGGATTCATTTGCGTCGCGATGGGTGAAGTTGAAATTAATTCTGCGCCCTATATTTTTTTTTTTTTTTTTGGTATTATAAATTGTAAACAGATGAATTACCATGTAATAGAATTGTTATTATTAAAGAAAATAATTGGCGTAACTCTTCCAATATTTGGCTAAGCGAGGAGCGCGATTTAATAAAAGGAAAAGACAGAGTGTTTAAGAATGTTTCGGCAGTCTGTCTATCTTCCGCAAGTTATGTTTCAAAAATTAAATACAAGTATAAAAAAAAAAATAGATGCCTTTGTACAAACGTCGCTTGTCTTCAGAGAAAAACGTTTGGCGTGTTAATCAACAATTTCTTTTCTTTTTATATGCCATGTCCTTTCAGGACGCAGGCGATCATGGCTCTTCACCTCTTCCCTCTATCCCTTGCAGCTCTCAGCAAGTTCTTTCCCTCTGCTTCCTCCCCCGGACCATGTTCTGTCATCCACCTGCTCAAACTCGTCCAGTATGTCACCCGCTGCTTTCCTTTGTCTCTCTTTCCTTATATTTGACCTGTGAGTATCAGATTCTCCAGGCCCTCCTTCCTCATAAATTCCAGAAATTTCAGCTGCCTCTTTCTGATGTTAAGTATAAGCCCTCTTCTTGTTTGTAACTTCTCTAAGACCTCATCGTTGCTCAAATGGTCGGACCATGATATTTCACTCACGCTAAAATTGTCTTTGGCGACTGATAATAGACCTGCCAAAAATGAGATTAGAACATGTGACTCATGATTGTAAAGCAAATACACTAAGCACTCGGCCACAATACCTGATATTACCTGATCAAATTCCAAGTCTAAATTGTTCCTCTAGTTCAGACTCGACGTTTATTTGAACATATATCCAGTTTAAATACCGGAGTCACGAACCTCATTTATAAACGATCACCTGACTGCAACCCCTTTGACTATTTCTTCTGGGGTGTGATCGAGGTCAAGACCAACAAGCACGCCCACAACACGGTCGACACTCTGAAGGCTGCCATCGTGAAGGGGTTCGCCGCTATGGACAAGGACATGGTCGCCAAAGCGTGTGACTCATTTCGCGCCCGCCTTGAGATGGTCGTCGCTGCCAGCGGTGGTTACATTGAAAAATAATGTAGTATGTAATTCTAACTGTTGCTAAATAAACTGTCGGGTTTCTGCATATACAACTTTTGTTTTTATTGCATATTTCGTTTTCTTTTTGTCAAGTGTCGGATTTTGCTACAACATCCTATATATTCAGAGATTCCTTTTAATGAAATCCAAAGAGAAATCTGCAATGTTACTTGTCCTGACCTGGCACCTCGGCTTTAGTCGTTTTCCCACTCATCTGTCGGTTTATTCCATTTTCTATTTCGATACCCATTAGTATTTCCACGAATATTTTACCAGCAACCTACTTTCTAGGGACAATTTGATTTTGGTAAAAGTTGTTGATAAATTTTTATTCCGTTTGTCTCCTTCTACTAGAAAAGGCGAATTATCTCTGATGTGAAAATAGATGTTGATTTTGAAACTTTAGCGTCGCTAAATTTCGATAAAGAAATGTTCTCCAGTAACCATCAATGATGAACGTTAATAATATTTTGCTTATCAAAAAACGATCGACATAATTACAAGCACTCTCATCGCAGGATGATATATGAAATATAGAAAAAAAAACTGAAATATATACAGATAAGAAAAATTATGAAATATTATAAAATTTATGAAATACGGAAAAAATATTAAATATATGAAATAATAGGAAAATATAAAATACAGAAAAATATAAAATATATTAAAATATAAAATACTAATAAAAATAGAAAATATAGAGAAAGGTATGAAATATAGGAAATAATATGAAAAATATGAAATATAGAGAATTTAGAAAATATATAAAAATATGAAATAATAATAAAAAATGTGAAATATAGAAAAATATAAAATATATGAAATATATGAAATAATACGAAAACACAGGAAATGTATAAAAAATTGAAATATGAAGATATGAAATATATATTAAATAATATACAAATATGAAATTTATAAAAACAAAAATATATGAAAATATGAAATATACGGATTAATAAAAACACTATGAAATATAGAAAAATTGTAATATATGAAGATAAAAATATATGAAAAATATGAAATATGAGAATATGAAATAACGTGAAATATACAAAAATATTAAATATATGAACTGTGAGAAATAATGAGAAATATTGCAAAAAACGTGCAATTTACCTGGAATAATCGTGTAAGAATCAACGTTTTACAGACTGCATTTAGGATCGAATTCTTGTTAACGGATTTCGACATTATAGCACTTACCATTGTATATCTGTGTATTGTTGTCTCTAATTTGAATCGAGCCACAATGTGATTGAAATTTCGATTTTTATGTCCACTCAATGTCGCTTGACCGAATTTGGAATTGATCGGTTGTAAAACAAAGGAAGAGAAAGTTGTTTCTACAGGGAGAGAAATGTCGCCATGCTTATATAAATCAATGTCACTTACCACAATTCACTTCGTCGACGCCCTCGTAACAATCCACAACACCATCGCAGACTTTTTCTAAACGAATGCACTGACTTGACATTGGTTGACATTTGAACTCATCTGGCTGGCAGGAGGCTGAAACAAATCAGGAGAAAAGTAAAGCAATTTACGAGGGGCGTCTGATAATTTTCGCATGTCGCATTCGGTGACTTTCTCAGAAGCAAATTCTTTATTTCCGATTTCGTATTTTTTACGATTTATTATACTTAATTAATGGTTGTAGAATATAAAAACGACCTGCGCACTGCGATAAAAAAAAAACTATACATGACTAATTACTCAGCTATTGTTCGCTTTTTTCCCCTGATTTTTAATCTGTACTACGAGCCCGAGGATTGAACTCACTACCACCAAATTCACAAACTAATGCTTTAACCTACTGTGTCATTGTCCAGTGGGACAATCAGGAATGTAGAATTTGAAGTCCGTAACCTAATGTTTATATTACGTGGATGTCAAGCAGCAGCAGGCAGTCAGGTAGACAATAAGAATAAGTGTAAGGCCACAGAGGGGTTAAAGCGTTGGTTCGGGACACAATGATTGCGAGTTCAATCCCTACACCGGACAGTAAAGTAAATAGGACAAACAAAAACTGAGCATTATAAAACGAGCAAGAAGATATATCCTTAGAAATGGACATGGGAAGGAGGACAATCTAGCGCCTCCACAACCAGGTAGATTTAATAAAAGATTCACTTCGAAATTCCTTGAAAGCTATCTGGATCGACAGGCCTCTGACGATGACCGGAATGCGAAATAGTCGGAACGTTGTGATTATAAAGATGAGGATATTAGTCTGAATGTAAATAAAGTAAATAATAATTGTGCTTGTCCCTCCGTCCCTTCGTTAGTTCCTTAATTCGGACGACCGTCATAGCTTGGCAATACCCATAAATAATGGAATATTCCGTTTGCATCGCATGGAAGGAAGGGAAAACATACTACTTGGTTTCTGTGAGAAAGAAAGAAAGAAAGAAAGAAAGAAAGAAAGAAAGAAATAAAGAAAGAAGGAAAGAATAAATGAGTGAAGGAAAGAAAGAATGAAAGAATAAATGAATGAAAGAAAGAAAAAAGAATAAATGAATGAAAGAAAGAAAGAATAAATGAATGAATGAAAGAAAGAATAAATGAATGAATGACAGAAAGAAAGAAAAGAATAAATGAAAAAAAGAAAAGAGAAAGAATAAATGAATGAATGAAAGAAAGAAAGAATGAATGAAAGAAAGAATAAATGAAATAAATAAATAAATAAATCAAAGAAAGAAATAAATAAAAAAGAATGAATAAATGAATGAAAGAAAGAATAAATGAATGAAAGAAAGAAAGAATAAATGAACGAATGAAAGAAAGAAAAAATGAATGAAAGGAAAGAAAGAAAAAAATGAATGAATGAAAGAATGAAAGAAAGAATAAATGAATGAATGAATGAATGAAAGAAAGAAAGAATAAATAAACGAATGAAAGAAAGAAAGAATAAATGAATGAAAGGAAAGAAAGAAAAAATGAATGAAAGAAAAGAAAGAAAAATGAATGAATGAAAGAAAGTATAAATGAATGAATGAAAGAAAGAAAGAAAAAATAAATGAAAGAAAGAAAGAGAGAGAAAGAAAAAAGAAAAAGAAAGAAAGAAAGAAAGAAAGAAAGAAAGAAAGAAAGGGAGATAGAAGTGTTTAACCTCTCCTGCCAATACCTTATAAATAATAGACTATTCCATATTGTGTAGAAAAACAAGACATGCGCTACTTGATTTCGGTGAAATGAAGAAAGAAAGAAAGAAAGAAAGAAAGAAAGAAAGAAAGAAAGAAAGAAAGAAAGAATGTTGATATGTTAAGAAAGAAAGAGTTGAGAGAAAGAAAGAGCAGAAGAATAAAGTAAAAGTAGAAAGAAAGAAAGAAAGAAAGAAAGAAAGAAGGGAAGTGTTTAATGGCTGTTTCAGTGAAATGGAATAAAGATGTCAATTTCAAATCTTTTCATTTGTACCCACTTCTTAAAATAACGCCCAGCATTCATACTTATTATCGTTATTGCAATATTTTGTTAAACTTGTTAAGCTCGATGCAATATTTTAATTTTGTTGAAATCGCTATGCACTTATTCAACCATTAACTTAAGAATTATTATTCATCAGAAAATTCAAATCGGAAAACCATGAAATTTTTCCGGATATTTCATTTTAAATCATTAAAAAAGTGAATTTTAAGTAGTCTAGATAGAATTTGTACTTCGAAGAATTTTTCGTTGTAAAAATGGTTCTTTTGTAAACGAAAGTTGTTGTTTTATAAGCAAGAGCATTAGTACGCATTCGTTTTTAATTTGTATAACTCCTAAAATTAAAAAAAGAAATAAACAAATTTGTCTTTCGCTAAACAACTAACATATTAATGGTTCTTATTTGATTAAAAAGAGCAAATAATTAAAATAAAAACGATGTAAAAATGATAATAGTTTACATAGAGATTGGTGACGCAGTTTCTTTACGATAAATGTTTTCATCGTCGTCATCGTCATTCATATGACATTTTTATTTTTCCTTTTTTTCTCGATTTTTCCTTCTCCATCTTTTTTTTGGGTCGCCCCACTGACCACTGCCAAGGCAATGGCCATGAGAAATACACTTACCGCAAGCAGTAGTCTCGTCCGTATTGTCCTTGCAATCTTGATAGCCATCACACATCCACGAGTGGTCAAGGCACGTGTTGTTGTCACACATAAACTGTCCCTTTTTGCAGACTATCAATAAGAAAAAAAAACATGTAAGAAATATTACCACAACAGAAACTTATGGCTATTGCTCGTCATCTGCAGTACTTTATCGCGCATTGCAGAACAACTTGCGAGAAAAGCTTTATTTTAACGTTATAAATATCGACATTATTTTCTTTGAGTGGGTGATCTCGACGTTTTATATTCTTTATGTCTTTATAAATTGTTCTAACCTAGAAAGGGTTACTGAATGAGGAATAACCAAAACGGATTTGGAAGTGAAATGGTAATCTTTTATAAAATCAACAAAACACAACACTCACCAGCGACGTGAAGTAGGTAAACCACTGCCAGTGGTGGAGTACTTAGGCAGCATATTACCCCCACCCACTTACAATAATGTCCAACGTATTTATGAGGATTTTGGACATATCCATTAGTGTTCATAGATACGGTATATAATAGATAGATAGATAGATAGATAGATAGATAGATAGATAGATAGATAGTGTTGTAACCTAGAAATCGTTACTGAATGACGAATAACCAAAACAGAGGTTGGAAATGAAATGGTAATCTTTATAACATTAACAAAATACAATACTCGCCAGCGGCGTGATATAGGTAAACCACTGCTAGTGGTGGACTACTTATACAGCCTACCAATCCCACTTACAATACTGTCCAACGTATTTATGAGGATTGGGACATAACCATTAATGTTCATAGGGATATAACTAAATATTTTAATTTTTTAAATCTGTCTCATGCTTCAATTTGGTCAAAAGGCTGACTAATATAAAATAAATATTAGTTTTATTTTCAATACCATGTGTGTATGTTGTAACCTAGAAAGGGTTACTGAATGAGGAACAACCAAAATGGAGGTTGGAAATGATAATCTTTATAACATCAACAAAATAAAATACTCGCCAGCGGCATGAAGTAGGTAAACCACTGCTAGTTCTGTACCCGCTTGATTTTACTATCCCCGACCTGTAATCTGCATTTTGGCTCACCCCTTTTGCTGATAACCAAATATTCTGTCGTCTTGTACTCTATGCTTACCCTTTTCCTCCCGCTTTCATTTTCTACCTTCTGTAGGATGTTCTGTAGTTTCCTTTCCCAGTCTTTTATCAGCATTGTGTCATTTGCATATCTTATATTGTTACGATTGTGGTCACCAATAATAAATCCTGGTAGGACTTCTAATTCTCTCAAAATTGCCTCGCTGTATAAGATGAATAAGCCCAATGAGAAAACACATCCTTACGTCCCTTTCTATCGAGCGTATGTAAATATAAATATAAAAGTGAACATTGAAGTCAACACTCAGAGGCGACAGGCTGCTTCATGCTAGACGCAATCGTCAGGCCGCCTCTGAGTGTTGATTTCAATGTTCACTTTTTATTTTTATATTTATATATATATATATACACATACACTTGTGCTGTGCACACACACACACACACACATATATATATATATATATATATATATATATATATATATAGTGTAATCAAAAAAAAAACAGTAAAGTGCATATACCGTATATAAATAATTATATATATTTATATACACACACACACACACACACAACACATATATATATATATATATATATATATATATATATATATATATATATATATACGTTATTTTTTAGCTAATACTTATATTTGAGTAGAATTGATGTTTATATATATTTATTTATTTTCTTGTAACTGGATTAAAGGATGTACTAGAAATCGTATTAAAGAAAGAATTATGCTGTTTGGCATGATTTGAACCTGCGTCCCTATCAGTTCTAACGGAACCTCCCTTTGCCCTGAGTGACACATATATTATTTATTTTTATTGACGTCCTCAACATTCGGGAAATATTACTAGATGAAAATATGCGCTCGCCGACAGAAATTGAACCTGCGTTCACCCAAGACGAAACCGTCGTTAGATCAGACGTGCTTTAGTCATCTCGGCCACGGAGTGCGTCGATGATAAAATAAAAAGCTGATTACTGCCTTTCAACACTAATTTTTCGCTGACTCTCGAAACAGACATATCTGTTATTCCTAACGTAAACAAAGCAATTTCTAAAGAATGGGATGGATTTTTGTTTATCAATCCGGCAGATTTTATTATTTATACGTTATTTCTAGTGGATACTCTGTGACTGAGAGGACAAAAGCACGTCAAGTCTAAAAATGGTTTCCCCGAGCGCATTTATTTTTAAAGATTTCTAGAATATTCAGTAAATCCAGTCAGAAAACTCGGAGTTGAGCCCTAAATCTGGCTGGTTGTCAACAGTGACAACTTTTCGACAACTCCTGCAGTTAATCTTTCCCCAAATGTAATGCATTGTCTTCTTTTGGATCTTGTCGGTTTGGCCGGGAGTGGAAGGCATGTAGACTTGGCAGTGGACAGCCTCCTTATAGCATCCAAAATCTAGAAGGAAAGCCACATACTGTCTTATAGGTTTTGTCAAATTCTGAGAGGAGGAACGGATTAATCTCAACATCCTGGTGCAAAAAGATCCAGCAAATAATTGCACTATTCTGTCTTGAATGTTTCAAACGATTGCCAATTGTTACTGAAATATTACCTTTCGATTTTTTATTCGCTTTTACAAGGTCCATTGAAACTTTTTGTTTAAGTTGTTGGAATGAACGTTGAATATTTTATTATACATGACCAAGTAGAGAATAGATTTGAAAAATACTTATTAAGTCGTGCGTCAAAAATATTTCAGTATGGACAGTTTAAAATTTCTCTCTTTACTTGTGGTTCTTTTGGCAATATTCGCCATACTTCCTTGTGAATGTCATAGGAAAGTTAAATTAGTTTATTGATTCCCAGACACGGTTACTTGTCAACATTTGGTTGGACAACAATTGTTGGCGCTGTAACGATGGCCATAGAAACAGTAGAGAAAGACAAGATTCTACCACCACATTCTCTCAGGTAAGTTCTTCATTTTCTTGAAACTCTTCATTATATTGGCATAGACACACACAAATTACATATAAGGTATATTTAGGTAACAAATATTCACCAAAACAAACCTGATTAAAGCGAAAAATGTCTGTCTGTTTAATCAAGAACCAATGTGGTGTTTGTGTGGTGTCAAAAGGCTCTAACTGAATAAATGAATGAAACTAATAAAAAACAAAATTTTACTGACAGATGGTATTTAAAAAAATAAAACTTAATTAATTCTTTACCTTGCAGGTCGGGAGGTTCGTGGGCCTGTTTATAACCAATGCAAACATTTTCGTCGTCCACATCAGGAAGCTGTGAACAATTCAAATATTTCGGCCAACGATATCGATATATCTCGACAAACACTTGGCAACGTTCTTTAAATGCTGCAAAAAGAAAAAAAAAATTTCAAAATTATAACACAGCATGAATGCTGTTAAAGTTTTAATGATATTCCAATATATATATATATATATATATATATATATATATATATATATATATATATATATAAACATTTTTATGTTATGCATATTTTTTTTTTATAGATACAGATATTTACGTAAATTTTCTGTTTATAATAAACAGTAAAAAAAAAATTTACCGGCTTGAATGTCCGAGAAATTGTTCAAAAAAAATGCGTCCTCCGCCAGGAATCGAACCTGTATCGTATACGGAACGGTATATAGAATGATTTTTTTTTTTACCGATCTCGCCACAGAGGAGCGTTTCGGTTAGCAAGGTCGATTTTTACTGTTTTTTAAACAACAATTCTCCATGATTTTCTCACGTACATTCATATCTGCTCGATGCGTTTCCAAATGTAAACAAATGACGTCACACATTATGAAATAGACAAAGTCCGACAATTATTTTAAGACATTTTTTTAATGATTATCCGTTCTTTGTATAGATACAAATTTTTAAGTAAATGATGTTTATAATAAACAGTATTAACAACATTTACCGTCCTGAATGTTCGAGAAATTGTCATAGTAAATATGCGTCCTCCGCCAGGAATTGAACCTGTATCCTATACGGAACCGTCATATAGCCTGACGTGCTCTTAACTGATTGAGTCACAGAGGAGAGTTTCGTTTAGCAAGGTCGATTTTATTGTTTTTATCAGGCTATATGACAGTTCCGTATATCTTCTCCAGATAAAATAAATATAATGAATATTTCTTAAACTTTCAAATAATTTTTTCCCCTTTTTACAAATATTTTCTAAATTAGTGAAAATCGCATTAAGTCGTTAAAAAAAAAAAAAAAACGTTATTTTTTTAGCGAAAGGTTACAACATTCAAGAAACCTTGTTCTTAATCATTGTTTAGATATTTGGTTAGGTATGAGAAAGTGTGAGTGAACAAGTGAGAAAGAAACAAATCAAAATTTGAAGAAACGTTATTTTCTTTATGAAACTAAGTGCGTCATTTCGAAAGACTGCAATTTTCCCAAGACTGTTGTCAGCAAAGAAACTGATAAAAATCAACAGGAAAAACTGACCTTGACATAGACTCCGACACGGTGGAATGATATGATGAGGCACGGTTCCATTCCAATTACATTTCGGTAAATAAATGGTACAACCGATAAGTAACACGTGACTATAGCAGTGTGTATACGTTTGGATCATGCCGAATACTTTTAAAGTCTTATTAGTCGCTTCTTCAGAAATGTCTCCATTTAAATTGGGAAAGCTGGTGTAACTATAACCAACGTCTTCACAGACATCCCCTTGGATTTTCTGGCAGGCTCCGGCTATTCCAGGTTATCCATAAAAGTTAAAATAGGAAAATAAGAAAAGAAAAAAATGTTAATAATTAACGCAATATATATAAAACCTGTTGAAATTAAAAAAAAAAAATTGATTATAAATAAGTAATGGCTACCAGCTCGGAATAATTCGTGTTCGAATTCTAGTTGTGTTAATTGCATTTCACTAATACTAATACCCTGTTATAGGAATCTACTAAAAATACCAATTGAAGTAATAAAAAACATATCGGATTGTAAAAATAGTATATAGATTTGTCCGAGGATGCAGGTATTCAGAGTTATCTGCTCCTGAATTTTGAAACCACCACCACTTGGGGGAGCTACCAATATACTATATATACTTGGCAGTTTCTCGCCTCGTCCTCTTATTCCCGCCCTGGGTAAGACGTTAAACTACGTCCGCGTCCTGGATAAGACGTTAAACTACGTCCGCGTCCTGGGTAAGACGTTAAACTACGTCCGCGTCCTGGGTAAGACGTTAAACTACGTCCAGCAGCAAGGCCTCTGATCAGGAGGTTTTCAGGAGCGTAGAACCACCTCTTAATTGCTGCTGTACCCAGGTCTACCCTGACCCGGGGTGGTAGCACCTGTTAGGGTCCAAGCTATGGGCAAATAGTTAACTATTACCAGCAATACATTTTTTGAAAAATTATTACCAGCAATACAATTTTGAAGGAAATATATTACCAGAAACAGATTTTTGACAAAATAAAATATTACCAGCAGTAAAAAATTTTGTCAGCATAAAATAATCCATTGAGGTTGATATGCCGTAAAACATAATAAACCAAACCAAATCGTCCTCTTATTCACTTCTTCTTGTTTTATTCCCCCCCCCACAGACCACAAATTGTACATATGGAGTCTAGTTAGTATTTTCATAGAGTCATTGAGGTATTATGGTGGGTGTAGTAAGAATGTGTTGTTTTGGTGCAAGAAATATTGTTAGTATGATTGGGTCAGCGTTTGTGGCTAGCTAAGTTTAGAAGTTAAGACAAAACACCGACCTCTTCCCCCATTTCTCAATTCGGCCTTGTGCCACATTTTCTGTTATAGCACAGAAATAAATAACCTCTTATTCACTTCTCATATTTCAGAGGAGACTTCAAAAATGTAATCTCTCATGAAAATTTACTGCTTATAAACTTCAATCATCCATGAATCTCGTACATTCATAACTGCTCTGGCGTATCAAATGTAAACAAATGACGTCATATATTAAGAAATGGACAAAGTCCGACAATTTATTTATTAAAGTCACTTTTATGTTTAACGTTCTTTTTATAGATAGAAGTATTTAAATAAATGCTCTGTTTGTAATAAACAGTATTAAATAACATTTACCGGCCTGAATGTCCGAGAAATTTTCATAGAAAATATTCGCCCCTTTGACAGGATTCGAACCTGCATCCTATACGGAACTGTCATTTATGCTGACGTGCCTTACCGTCTCGGCCACAAAGGAGCCTTCGGTAGGCCAGGTCGAGTTTACTGCTTATAAACTTCAATCTTCCATGAATCTCGTACATTCATAACTGCTCTGGCGTATCAAATGTAAACAAATGACGTTATATATAGAATATGATATATATATAAATATATATTTATTAAAGGATTTTTATTTTTTATAAATTTTTTTATAGATACAAAAATTTGTAAAAATACTTTATCTAAAAAAAAGAACGTTAAAATAAAAAAAAAATTTAATAAATAAACGGAATTTTGTGAATATATATATATATATATATATATATATATATATATATATATATATATATATATATATATTTACAAATTCATGAATTATTCACACAAAAACAAATGCAAAGGTTAATGATTTAATTGGCGAGAAATCCATCGTCGCAAACAATTCAAATAATATACAAAAAACCTCCGAATCCGTTATGAATGAAATGATCCTTGTTTCTATAAATTTCTGCCGTATTAGTTCTTATTTTTTACTACAAGCTTTCGTCTGTTCCTACAGACATCTTCAGGTATAGAATAGATGTTGTTCTTGTTTTTTTCTCTTAGTAATAGGAGGACAACGAAAATATATGTATTGTTGTATCCGAAAATGCTATTGGAAATGAGTTATTGTTTTTTGGAGCGCGCAGTAGCAACGCTGAGTTTGATTTTAAATTTTTAAAAGTTGTGCGTTCATATACAAATATGGTGATGAACGAATTTTTTACTGGTAAATTTTCTGTCAAAGTGGCATGAACTATATTGTTCAATAATTACAGTAATGTCGTACTTATTATCCAAAAGTCGCACTTGGATCAGTTATTTAAATTACGATAAACGTGCAATTCATGAATTTGTAAATTGATTGCACGCTTATCGTAATATTTATTTATATATATATATATATATATATTTCGGTCTTTGTTGTTTTCTTTCACATTTCCTTCGGTTGGACTCATCTTGAGCCCGCCATATTTGTAGTGGGCACTATTTCAGGAGATACACGTGTTCGTACACAACGCGTACAAACACATGATCCGCTACAAGTCCTTTTTCATTTGGTGGGTGGAAGTATCAGGAAGTCAATAAATCATCTGATTTCTTCTGATGGTCTGGTGTGAAATTTGAGCCTAATGCCTAATACCACATGCTATGAATAATCAAGAGGGGTCTCCATTTGTTTCGTTACTCTCCTCTTTGGGAGAGCTCTTTCTGTTTAAACTTATATTCTCAGTTGAATAAATTTTTCTTAAAGCCTACACCTGCATACTTTTGTCATTACACCGCACGAGAAAGTTTTCATATTTTAAGCTGGAATGTTTGCTATAGAGATTATTGGAATTCGTTTTAGCATAAATAGTTCTCAATGTTTGTTTTAATTTTCGCATGTTTTCTGTTTGGACATTTTTAATTATTCCCATGTTTTCTCTCAGGATTCGGATTTTTTTTTTTCTAGATATATGACTAAAATTGGGGCAGTGATTAATCGAGCTATTTTTTTTATTTTTTTTCTATTTAAATTCGTTTTGTCTCAAAATAAATTTTTACAATAGAGCGTCTGGATGGTAAATCAATAAATCGATAAAATATTTCACTTTTAAATTTCACCAATCAAACACTTTTATCAGATTTTTTTTTTTTATCTTTTCACTGATGCAAAGAGATTCTCAAAGATACAGGAAGATACAAATACGTATAGCAAGAGAAAAGAGATGGTGTTATCATCTACACAACTCCAGATGGAAAAGGCGGGAATGAAACAAGTATTTTCAGTCCATGCATAATCTAATCGTTTGTGTTTGATTTCATTTTTATTTATTTTTAAACAGATTTGATTTATTTTTACATTTTTTTTACTATTGCACTTAGTAAAATTTATTTTTGTTATCTCTTTCGTTTTGTTCTGTCAAGATTTGCTCCTTATAGCATGTCCATTTGGCAATCATATCTATATATTTACTTTTAGCTCCTTAAACAGTTTTTATTTTTTATCTCTTTTAAAATTTTCCTCGAGGACGATGTTATTACCTTTGACATGAAGAGTATTTAAGATTTTCTTATATGTTGAAATGAAAAATGAATGTTTGGAGACATTTGAAGGACTTAGAATCTTTTTTGAGGATTGTTTATGTCAACTGATTCAATTTCATATCTGAATTGAATTGCCTGTAATACTATTTAAATTATTAAGATGAAGGTCGATTGGCAATCAAGGATAAGGAGGATAGATAATTATTATGTACAATGAAATTTTATTGTACTTATTATAAAATTCTTATGAATTTTTATTTTATTTGGATTTCCATAAGGAGGATAGATAACAATTACCCTTTGACTTTGAACCCTGAAGATTGTATTTCCAGGTTAAGAAGAACGTGGTTATGATGAATGAAGTTCTTGATAATTATTCACCTGATCTTGAGGAAAACAGGAATCAAAGATTTCTTTCCTAAAACTTGAAAGTGGAAAATTTTTGAATGCTACCAAAATGGTTTTGATGAACGAGAATTTTGGATAATCAAAAAAAGAATTTTCCAGCACATGAAGAAAGAGGCATGAAGGATGGAAAACGCATTAACCCTTGACTTGAAGAGGTTAAGATTGTAGTGTTGAGGATAATTGAAAAATAGCGAAAATTTTTGATAAGAATGAATAGGACAAACAGGAATTTGATTTTTATTTCCAAGGAGCAAGGAGGATAACAAAACAATTCATTTTATTACTTTGAAAAGTTAAAAGGATTTTTTTATAGAGATTTTATGCTTAACGTAAAATGAATTTTTATAATGAAGTTGAAACTAATGAAAAATTTAAAGGTATGTTCAAGGAAAAAAAAAAAAAAAATATTTAAATAAGGATTAGATAATTTTTTTATATATGACTTGAAATGAATTAAGATTTTTTTTAATGTAGAGACAACTGTTAATGACAAATTGGAAATTTATTTTTTTAGAAAGGAAAGATTAGGTATATATACAGAATATTAGAAAGGATAAATGGATGACATGTAAGAGGTTAAAATGAAGCAATGAATTTTTTTGATACCTGAAAGAGGAGGTGGTAGGAACTGCCAAAATATAAACCAAAATTTGGAGGATATCTTTACTTTTTTTTTTTTTTTTATGATGAATATATAGTGAATGATATATATTTTCTTAAGGAAATATATATATATAATATAATATATATGAGGATTATCCAATAGATTATTTTTGATTTTTTTTGAAAAGGTTAATTTTGAATGAAAATTAATTTTAATGTTAAAATCATATAAAGTTGATGAATGATTTTTATTGATAGGAAGTTAAACAAGGTAGGGAGCCTGGTAAATATTACTAGGATAAGGAGGAGGAATAACGAAACCTTTGACTTGTGAGTTAAGATTGTAGAGGGTTAATATATATTTAAAATGGTTATTGAATGAGGAATGAGGAAGGAATTCTTGTGGTAAAATTATATATTGAGGATCAGGAGGATAGGGGTTGGAAGTAAAGATTGAGGAAAATTAGAGGATG